TAGGGGCCTAAATAAGGTACGATAAATTTGATTTTTTTACCCAAGAATCTGACTGGTCTGATGTGTAATTGGTGAAATTTTGGTGCATTTTTATCGAAAATTGCGGGAGATATGAAATAAAACGTGAAAATACCCCAAAATTCCCCGAAAAATGGGTTTTTCGGGGCTGGAGGGGGGGTGGTTGGGGTCAGGAGGGTAAAATTGCCCAAAACCATGTTTTTAGGACCTCCTGAACGGGTTTAGACCATTAAATTCAAAATCCGTGAGGAGGGGCATTTTGGTGCCCTTACCCAGGGATACCCTTTAGAAGAGATTCAGTTTCAAGAAAGGCCAATATCATGTGTGATGCTGAAATAAATACTGTCGGCTAAAGACGAAAAATACGTGGGTATCTTGGATCGTGACTTTGTAAGTCTCTGCTAGTATTTAAGAAAAACAAACCAACTGTTGTCATTGGATTTTGTATGAGTTTTCACCACTCATTATAAAATATTAGGTACACAAAATGCAAGGAAAAATTTTAATAGTTTTCGTCGAAAATAATAAGATATAGGTGGAGATTTCTGAATGTGGCAATTGAGATACGTATTTTTCACCCTTAACCATAGATATGGGCAAGAAATGAAGGAAGGAAGAGAATTCAGTGTGTAACACATGTTTACTTACTGAAAAACTGAACTAACATCTCTGTATCTTTTTAGATTGCAAAGCCAGTCAAATATAATATTGATGACCAAAGCAACCACGTATCTCTGTTAGCGACGTTGCCTACCTCCTGTCATGCTTTACTTTTTTATCGGAAAACTAGTCAAGTTAATTTCTTGATTTTTCTCCTCTATCAGCAAAATATATCGTAGAAATTTCAAGCTACATAATCGAATTGTTTCTCTTCGGAAAAATAAAGTAGGAGCAGAGATTTTGAAACTCCGCAATGGAGATACGTGGTTCCGCAATCTAGCCATCGGTATGTGTTAAACCTCCTTAGATTTTACTCGCTGGTTCCCAAAAAATGAACGAATACTCTTATTTTGAAAAACGTCTTTTTCTATGTTCTGGGCCATAGTGAAAAAAACACCAAAAGGGTAAATTAAAAAAAAAAAAATAACAATAATACCAAAAAATTGCTCAAAGTTACATATCATTGTAGGGATACTTTCTCAAAATATTTTTGTTCTCAGAGATTTCAAGCACAAAAACTACTCGTATTCCATGCTAAAAAGATGAGGGGGAAAAAAAACATATGTAAGTACGGAGTGAGGATGGTTAATTGATGAATAGTCAGACCAATAGCTCAAAATTAGGAAATGACGTGCGTTGGTCATATCAATCATGAAACTACAAAAATGCGTATCTATGTATCTATGTTGCGATGTTTCAAAATCTCCGCTCCCATTTTAATTTTTGAAAGGAAACCGTACTAACTAACATCATGACTTCATTTCGCCGAAAAAACATTAATCGAATTTTCAAGGGGTGATATAAAGTAGTTTTCCATGTGGAAAATGAAGTATGATAGGAAATCTGCAACGCATATCAAGAATCAAAATACGCATTCCTGCAGTTGGACCGTTAATATGTTTACGACTTATTACTTAGTTAAAAGGCAATGAAAGAATAAAGTTGGACAAAAATGTCAAGGCACAAACCGTAAAATTGGGCAGATCGAATCTCAAGCTCTCCACGTTTTGTACAACATACGCTCTTCACTGGTAACATTTTAAGAATATAGGCAGATCTCTAAGGAGTATTTAAAAGAAGTTGATACAATCTCTTTTAGAATGACCCCTTGAAGACGTACAAATTTACTATGAATAAAATTTTGCGTACACATCAATCAAAGTGAGTTATTATTATTATTCACAGGTGTATCTACAGAATCTCTAGAAACGGTAACTGAGTCTTCGCTGCTGGCTGTGTCTTTCGTCTTGCGGTCCGGTGAAGTATCTTTTTCACCCATCAGAGCTCGGTACTTCTTGGCAATGGCCTCCCAGTCCGCGATGTTCTCTATCCTAGTTGCAGTGTTTGAGAAGCTCAATTGGGAGCCGAGAGGGCTCAGATGAACCACGCTCAGGGCAACTGAGTCTGAAAAAACAAGAACAAAAATAATGATGGATTCCAAAATTTTAGCCTAGATTTGCAGTTATTTGATGAGACTTGACTGAAAATGATGACCTAAGTCGTGGATAAGAGAAAGCAAGGGTCACTTCTTTGAGCTCTTTGACTTCCCTAATTTTCATTTCTTCTGAGTTATGCCTGGAGATCGACCATGCCAATTTCCATGATTTTTCAGCCATTGACACCTGTTGATCATCACTACAGAGCAATCTTTTGATGGCTCCGGGTATCCGTCAGAGGCTGGGCCGTACCCCTGCCAAACGGGACTGAGTACATTTTAGAAGTTCAACCTTGTGGAAGTCATAACTGATACCATTGATATGCCTGCTTTTAAAAACTCATTTCCCATGTAGCAGTGATCGCGATAAATAGCGATTATAACAATGGCAATTTATCGAGATATTATCGGAATAAAAATTGCGATATATGGCGATTAAATCGCTACACATCGCAGTTTTTGATTCGATAAAATCGTGATTAATTTTTGTCGATAAAATCGAGATTAAATCGCCATTTATCGCGATTTTTATTTCGAAAATGTAAATTGTCGGGCGATAAAAGCGCGATTGTAAATGATCCTGGCGATTTTATCGCCGATAAAATCGCAATATATAGCGATTTTTCCGTTTAGAAATGCTACTTGGGTCAATGAAATAACTTCAATCCAATGGACAAAAATCGGAGATACAGAATATGAAACTCGGAGTAAAGTCAATTCCTTCTTTTTTCTTTCTTTCTTTTTTTTTTTTTTTTGCCTAAGAGCCAATATTGAATTTTTAACTCAGTCAAAAACACCAATTATTCCCAATAGGTCAAATGTGCCGATTTATTTCAATCTTGTAATAAACAAGTTTATTCGGTATAATTTGAATAGGAGCCGTACTACAACTGAATGCTTAAGACATTATTTTATGAATACATTCTATACATACCTTTAGGAGCAACTTGGCCCTTTTTGACTTTGGCCAGCCATTTGGCACCCATTTTCGTCCGGGCACTAACACGACTTCTCGTTTGCAGTCCCATCATCTGAACTAAACTTGGTCTCTTCCGCTGGGCGACTTTGGATATAAACAAGGAGAGACATTTTCGATCAGGAAAAAACGATTAAAGTCTTATAAATGTTAAGTATAACCTAATAGAGGTTAAGTCTCCGTAAAAAGTTTTATGGAGAAGATTAATCCATTTAAAATACTGCTTTAGAAACATTTTATAGTTTCATGAAAGAAATATATTTGTTTGGAAACCAGAGCCCTGAATCCGAACTTGAACACCTCATTTACAGTATATAAAGTGGACTAGTGGAGCATTGCGGGTTCACGCCTCGAGCCATAGCGCCTTCAAATTCCCAGAGGCAACACGGCCATCCGTCAAGTACGAATAGTTGTATCTCTGCGCCGTCGTCAACGCGCGTTCTTTCATTTTCTCTATTTCCACGTACCATATATGGCGTGGTCGGATAGTTTCACCGTCGGCATGGGCTGTAAATGGCGATTCACTTTCTCAATTACTTCAAACTTTCTCATCGTGAAAGCGTGAGTTTTTAAATATTTCAAAATTTCAATACAACAGCTTTTACTGTTTTGTGAAAAATTCGATCGTTTTATAAAAATAGGCACAACCTACCTCTTTGTCGACAGAACTGAATCAAATACATGAGCCAAGACGTGACAAGATTCAATGGCGAAGGAGTAGTTGTTGTCCGGTGCATATTTCGGATCAATTTGGCGAGACCATACTTCCACTCAATATCAGATTGTGCCTAGAAAAAGATAAGCACACTCTTTAAATCGTGTGACATTTTTCAAAATAAAAAACGCACAAATTGCATTTAAGTTTACCCAGGGGCATTACACAGACTTGAAAATATAACATCTTTCATGCAATGGTCAGATTGACTTGTCGAGTGCTGATTATAGGTATTGTATTTTTGCAAAGATAATTGGTATTGTATTGTACGTAATGGAGGCGAATTATCAAAATTAGGTGCCTTCTTCAATTTATAATTGAATTATCTGAACTTGGCAAATATAGGTGTAGGAAAAAGGTGGAGAAATGGTGCTTGGGCCCACACCATTTCGCGGGGAAAACAAAGTCAAGAAGTTCCAAAAATTATAATTAGAGTCAAAATTATATTTTTTGAACTCTAATGCGTACCAGTATGAAACTGAGGGGGGAGAGTGTTCAGCTCTGGCAGTTTGCATTGGAATATTAAGACCCTTCTGTGGAATATTACACTCTCCCCCCTCAGTTTTGTACAAGTACGCATTAGAGTTCAAAAAATATAATTTTGATTCCAATTATAATTTTTGGAACTTCTTGGCTTTGTTTTCCCCGCGAAATGGTGTGGACCCAGCACCATTTCTCCACCTTGTTACATACAGTTCGGGCCACTTCTTAGTGTTTTTTTTTTATATATGTTTTTTATTTATAGGTATGCATCGGTATTTTTAATCTTTTCAAGTGATAATTACGTTATCACAATGTATAATTCCGTACAAAAGCCCGCTCCTTCGGGTCAAAATTCAGCGGGGACCACCGGGCCGGGGGGGGGGGGTGCCCGGGTCCCGGTCCCCCGATGGTCGGAAAAATAGAGGGGTCGCGCGTCGGATCCCGCGCCCCTTCCTCCCTTTTAGAGATCGGTTATCCCGTTCGTCCCGTCGGGAGATACGCGATTTTTCGTTATTTCCAGGCGCTTTTTTTTCGGTCCGCTGCCTGACCGACTGCCTAAGGCGTTTATCGTCATGGAAATCACCGTGGATTATGGCTTTACGGCGGTGCAGCTTGACACGCGCATTGGCGCCTACAAACCTAACAGTGATACTTCACGCATTGCGCAATGCGTGAAGTATCCCTTTAGGTTTGTAGGCGTCAGTCCACGTTCCTTGCTGGCAGCACGCTGCGCTGCGCTGCTCCGCTCTGTGTTCGGCTCTTATATTAAAACTCGCGGAGTAAGCGTCTTTCAACTCATGATTTTGAAATTCTTACGCTACCGCGGTAACGTACTTCAAGATGTTATGTAAATCTACTATATTCACACAACGGGAAGTTTGGAGATCAACTTTTGAACGAGATTTAAAAGAATCGATGACCAAAGTGCGAAGCTACCGATCTCCTTTTGCGACGTTACAGAAGCAAACTCCCTGCCATACTCAACGTAATTTATTTAGAACTATCTTGATTTTTTTCCCCCTTGGTAGAGTATTCTACATATATTTCAAGCTGTAAAGTTAGCTTCTTTCTCAATTAAAAAATTGAAAAAAATGAGTGAACGAAAAACAGGAAATTTCCACAATCCTTCGATCCCAGGATTGCAGGCCCGCGGTGTGAACACCAATAGGCGACGAGGATATCGATCTCTCGACGTCGAGCTCGAAGGATCGAAATCCTGAGCCTATATCAACTCCTAACCGTAGTAATAACATTTTTCATGAATAAATTTAACCTTTCCACTCATGGAAGAAAAAATAATTTACTTTAGTTAAATTGCACGCCAAACTTCACTATGACAGTCTCAGTAATATGAAAATATGGCAACCTCAATCTTGACGTTCAGCCCAAGAAGTACACACTTTGAACAACACAGAGTGGGAGAGGAACAATGCTCGATTGAGTAGTCTGCTAAAGCCGTTGTAGTGCGCTATTTGACTCACGTATGGTTTTGTTTTTATTGTGACCAGACAATTTAAAGTTCCCGTAACCAATGGACAATAAAAACGTTAATATCTTAGCTAGAAGTTGATTTCAGTAGTTTTCGTTGCGCGAATCTTGTTCTACGTGAAATTCTAGTGAAGAATCATGCATCAGAGTGCTTAAATTCGTTGTGTAATGGTCCATTCAATCTTAAAAAAGCGAACATATAGAACTTTCCTAAATTTTTGAGAGAAAATATTTTATCGGGAAAAACGAGGCAACGTTGGAGTGCTCATACAGCGTCGCAACACAACACGGGCCTTTAAAACCCCATTGTGCGATGCCGCGATTATCCTTACGCGAGTTCAAATAATCGCGCCAAACACGGTGCGATCGGCGTCAAACTCATAACAGCGCCTGCAAATCTGCAGGAATACTTCATGCTTTGCGCCAAACAGTGCGGTCCGCGTTAAGCGCTAGGTAGCGCCTACGGGACTGCATGAATACTTCTCGCATTGCACCGAACGTAATGCGAGAGTTATTTGCGATAACTATTTGACTACGAGTATATAGACACATTGCCGCTTGACTCGACGCACGACCACACTCCCCTGGCTTGCGCGACGCTAAAATTGCGGCAAAACTAGGTCTACGCGTCATTTCTTTTGACGGTCCCTACCCGCTTTTTACCCCAATTAAAGGGTAAATACGAATCTTAATTGCAACGATTCAGAAACTCGGACAGTGTTTAAACGATGCAGCTTCTGTAACTTGACTAGCATAAAATTAATCTTGGTTTAATAAATAGAACGAAAATATTGCGTCAAAATTTTTTGTGATTTTATTTTAAATCATTCTAAAAATTTCGAAACTTCTAAAAAAACTCTGTGTAGCTATTCTTTAAAAGAAAAAAAAAAAAACTGGGGAATTCTTCAGAAAAACTGCGTGTTTAGCTTTTTAAAAAAGGTGTTAAAAAATAAGACATATAGAGTGATGCATAACGTTGCAATAAAATATAAATACACTTTCTTTCCCGTGCACCCGTCGGCTTTTGAATCTATTCATATATGAAATAACTTAAACATAGTTGTTCTAAGATTTTTTAAGTGTTGTTTTTTTGTCATTGATTGGCGGCCGCTTAGCGGCCTTAGGCCCCTCGTCAAATAAATGCTTGCAAATTCTAACACCACTAACTGGGAAGAGATTCTTTAAGTATTTTGCCGTGAGGTGCTGTAGTAATCAAGTCAAATGCAAGGGAAAGAAAGAAAACAACAGCAATGAAACACACAAACCTGGATCCTCTGGTATGTATCACTCATCATGGCAATGAGAAGATTCAGCAACACAACAACGGACACCAACATGTAAATGCCGAAGTACACTTTAAACAAGTACCAAGTCCACTCTGGCTGGAGGTCGTTGCCAGTCACTCGCATGACATCTTGCGTTGTCTGGCCGAAAATGGCAAAGAATAGGAGCTCAAATGCGTGACCAGGATTCATGATTACTGTAAAAATTTTGGAAAAAGTCAAAGAATGAGATTTAACAATAGGCAAGTATACTAAAAAATATTTGATAAGAAACTAGAGCAGAAAGAAAGAGCAAAGAAAAGAGATGTAGCTAATTTTTTGAGGACAAGGAACTTTAATATAACTTAACAAGAGACAACAATAAAAAGGGGTTAATTATTTTTTAATTTTTTGTTTTGGGGGGGGGGAGTTACCGAGCAATTAATACTAATACCTCGAAGGGAGAAGATAAGAAAAATATCATCAATTAAGAAACGAGCAGAACTTTTTAAAAAAAATCATTTCCAAGTCATTTAGAATTGTCCTACTCTTGGAGCATAATGAGTTAATTCGTTAGAACAATCTTTACATTTTTAAGCTACAAGAAAAGCATGCATTCTAGGATATACAGTTCTTCTATGAAGAAGGAAAGTTGGAATGAGACAAAAACTTAAAAATCAAGTGGGAAGGTTAGTTTGAAACGTGCAGATGAGGCATAAATAACCAAAATGTAGGTATTCAAAATTTCAGTCAAGTATGCTCTTGACTCGGCACAGACAGCATTCTAACTTCACTGAAACTTTTTTAGGAGCCGCTTAGCAAGCAAGCCTAATTTTCAGAGGTCATCAAAATTTTTAAGGAGCCATGCAACTTTTTTTCATAGAATTAATTAGCTCATTAAAGGTGCAGAAAATACAAGTTTTTGAGACTTGTAGGTGATTTTGAAAGGTGTAAAGATGTGAATGAAAAATTCAGGATCAGATACAAACAGTGAACACACGCGTGTATTAACTGAAAGTGAAACTTAGTGGCGATAAAAACAAGACAACATGGGTGTTTTCTCGGAAAATTTAAAACCACCTAGTGCGACGTACACAAGAAAAACAAACAAACAACATAATGGATAAGTATTAGCCACCTCACCAGCGGCGCTCTATGGCGCGTGTCAATGAGAGGGGGCTTACGAAATGTAGAAACATTAAAAGCTATAGTCGAATTTAATATGGAACGTTGATGTTCAGAACTAGTTTCATTGATTTACTCGTAGAATTTCCTTAAAGAGGCACTCCTCAAAATTTATAGTACGAAGAAGTTAACATCAAAATTTGAAGTTTTAGTCGAAAATTCCATGTCCAGCCTCTCTGAAAGGCTTATTCTGTTGTGCAGCCGGTTTTACCAAGAGGATCTAAAATGACAGAGTGCCATGAATTTTCCAATGCCCTCAATGGAGTGAGAATCGGTCTAACAGATATCCCGATCTCTCTGTTACAAGAAGACGCTTATCTTTTTAAATATAGAAGAAGATATGTGTACAGAAAAGTAATGTGTGTGTGTAAATGGAATGTCAGAGCACAGTATGTCCCGACTATAATATCTTGGACAGATCCCAAATTCAAAAACTGACATCAAAAGCAAATAATGATAAAATTGGGTTTGCAAAAGCTCCACTATCAGAGCCAAAGCACCAAGATTCCAGATTCCTGAAATGAATTAACATTTTCGAGTAATATTGTTGGTTACATTTACTCATGTTACACAAGTGCTTGTTACAGTGTATACCTACTTAAAAACCAACAGCATACAGGCACAGCGTGTAATTTTTCATTTAAATTTTCTCACAACCAAAGGGTTTACACCAAAAGCTAATGAACTGTAATGAATGCTCCTATCCTCTGCAGAGTGAATAAAGAGTACTGCATGCAGTGCTAACTGCCGATTACTTTTCATCTGGACCTGCCAGGTTCTTATATGTATTATACGACGACTTTCATGCTAATCAAAGGAAATTTTTATGGAACATTTAGTTATCAAATAAAAAATTTGTAAAATACAAACACTTTCACAAATGAAACAATGAAAAAAGAAAACTTTGAAGCCAAAGTACAAAAGCAAAAAAGTGTAGCATGAAGAAATAACCACTTAGATACTTGAGCGAAATTACAAATACTTACTTTTCGACACTACAAGTACAAAGTCTGTCCTAATAAATTGAGAGCTGGCCTATTTCGAAAGAGGTGGATATACCGGAATAAGGGGCGAAGAAACTCGTATAGGTAGCTAATTGTACCAGTTTTCTGACAAGCCCTTTTTGAGCTCATTAGGTCAAAAATTTTCTTTTTTATACCGCAAGTTTTCGGAGTCGTTTAAAAAACAACATCTCCAGAGGTTTTGTGATATGTTTCTCCTAAACACGTACACCGCTCTGTCAAGACAGCAATTTTGACATTACGGTAACAACTTTCCAGCCATATGATGCATACTTTTGATACATACTTTTAATCCTGAAAAGTGTCAAAGTTTGTATAATCTAAAGCTCACGGCTGATCTTGTCTTACAAGTCGGTGCTGCCTATATTGCGCATGAGTGTTTCTTTGGGAATGCAAAAATAGTGTATTTTCATCGAAAAATGCACTGAAGATTTGTCAGTTTTCGTCATCACTGCATCAAAAAGTTGCACCCTAAGTCTAAATAGTTGCAAACTTCATTCCCTGAGTCGCTAAGTCCATACAAAGTGGAATACTTAAAAGAATTGAAAATGAGTCAAAAATTCCAGGGGATTTTTACACACTGCCAATAAATCGTCATAGAGAAGCGAATTTTACACCCAATGAGCTCAACAAAGGCTCGTTAGAAAGGCAATAAATAAGTTGTAAATCCCATCAAACTAAATTCCAAGTAGTTTCTTTTTAAAAACAGGCCAATTCTCAGTTTTTTGGGGATAAACTTTGAATCTCTAAAACATCAACACCAAGTTCCTAAAGCATAGCTTTCAACTATTAGATATTTAGGACAAGAATTAATTTTTATTAACAGAGGGAAGCTTAACACCCTAAAAAGAAAAGCCCTTCACATCAATTTCAGACCCATTTACCTTTTTTCTAAGGAAGAGACAAAAGGAGGTTTTCTAATTTACCATTTCGACGGCGTTAGTCCGCAATCACATAACTCGATCGCGGTGTCTGAAAATCTCCGCCTCTATGTTATTCTTTTAAAGGAGAACAAATTTACATAATTCCTTGAAGCTTTTGCAGAATTTTCTTCGCACAGAGAAGGAAAATCACGGCAGTTTTAAAGAATTGCCGTTGAGTAGTTTTCCGTTTAAAAAATAAAGTATGACAGGAAGTCTGCGACATCGCAAACTGAGTTATGTGATTGCCGACTTACACCGTCGATTTTCTTGTAAACATCGGACCTCTTATTACACAATGCAAGAACAACTACATGATAATATTTGAAATCTCATTACATCCCAGGAGAGTATTGTTCATCTCTGGCTTCAATACGATTAAGGAAAAAGTAATTCAAAATTTGAATTCTTTGCCAAACCAAAACTTACATTTAAATTGAATCAGACTACGGTTGTATCATTTCCAATGAGGAAATGGTAAAAGTAAAGTCAAGTAAGTTAAGTTAAGTAAAGCAAGTAAAATTAAGTCCCAGCAAAAGTATCTGAAATCGATTGATTAAAACACCATCTACTGAAGCGCGCAGACTAGTCTAGCCAACATATCTTCAACTAGACTAACACACTGCCTTTTTACTAGTTCAACACATCAAATTTCCAGTTCCTCTAACACTGAACATTGATCGACCAGTTTCTGCGCTGAAAGCAACCCACTTACGCGCTGGTTTGGGCTTTCGTTTAAAAACATGAATCGAGGGCTCGGTGGTTATTTCTTCAAAGTACAGTGTTGTATTTTCTATTGGTTTACAGACAAGGAAAAGAAAGTTACTCAGACAGAACAAAAAAGTGATAGAAGGAAGATCTTAGAAAGTTCATTAAATCCTTAGACAAGCCAAGGATGCTTGATTTTTGAAATCCAAACAAAAGGAAGGCAATCCACAAGGAACTAAAATAAAATCAGAAATGTCAGCCTGACTGATGCTTCCTTAAATTCGTAGAAAGTCATTCCTACATTTATGTTATGATATGTCTTTTGTCTAAGTAGATACTCGTACTATCAGCTTACTTCTCAATCAAAGGAGATCTTATGAAGAAAAGTAAGACATACACACGTAAAGAGAAATACATTTTTTTTCCAGGATAGAATTTACGGAAAAGAATGTGGTTTGAAGAAATCAAGACTACAGCTACTGCTAAAAATTAGCAAACAGGAAAATTAAGTTGGAAGAGTCTTCCCAACCCGAGAATTAAAAAAACATTAAATTACCTTCTGCAAATGGAGGCCTGTACTTTGATGTCCACGGTTGTTTTTTCCCACGTTTTATATCTTCCGGTGTTTGATTCTGGAATGGCTGATTTAGAGCCACAAACATCATGGAGAATCCCAAAACGAATATTGCCAAAACAGCTAAGAATCGAGCCAAGTCCTTCATCAAATCTCCAATAATGATGGCCCATGGTCCAAATAAGTGATGAAAAGATAAAAAATCTAAGATCTGTACACAAGCTAGTAGAAATGAAATAGCAAAAAGCTGATTCCTCAGGTACATCAGGGTTGGCCAGTACGGCCGGTCTATATACACTAAACCTAAAAAAACAAAACGAGAGAAAATTACCAGAAAAGATAACAATGAAAATTACAAACAATTGGACATACTTGCCCAAAGGAATTCTAGTTATAATAGTTTCCCCGGGAAGATGCTCTTCTTGCATAGATACGTACAATTTTCCATATGTTTTCTCTCCCATTTTTAAAGGTAGTCAGTTTTTCGTGCCTTGCTCAATTTTTATTGTATTTTAAGAAAACTAGGGAGTATGCCCCCTGATCGCTTCGCGGTCCAATCTCCTGAAGCACCTCAGGCGTTACGTATTATGCTTTACTCCTCTGCTGACTGGGTATTATTTAAGAAAGTTTTGTCACGGAGGCTGATCGTTGATTTCATATATTCAATTGATCTCATGCCAGCTTTTAAACTTGATAAGAGTAGAAAATGCACCGGCGCAATTTTTGGCGCGTATACGTAGTATATTGGCGCGTATACGTAGTATACCGCCTTTGCGATCGTTTCGAACCCTGCTCGATACAATAACCGAGTCCCTTAGTTCCTTACCGAAAAGTGACTACCGCGAACTTCTGAGATTTTCCAAAGCGTGTAAAAAGTTTATTTATCCGTCAATAATTATGATTTAAAGTTGTTTCTCATTCTGGGGCTCGCTAGTTTATGTGCAGTGAATACCAAGAGTCTACGTTACTTGGTTTTTTTAAAAAAAGCCTAAGAGTACGACGCGCTGATTTAAAATATGCATATATAAGCGGAAGCAAGCGAACTGATTCGAGGATGGCTGACCAGTTCGGCACTCCTTGAATGAGAATTTCACTCACTCCGTTTTGTTCAAAACGTTGCTTTGACATATCTCCACACCACTGTTATCCTTTTCAAAAGTTGGTACTCCTTGCTCTGATAGCCGGGGCCAGCAGGATAGTGGTAAGTGCAATCTGTGATGAGCCTCGAGACTCATTAGACCATTTGCTAAACGTGGCTCATACAGGAGTCCACTCAGCCCTCTCTTCCCCACGCTCCTGATCACTGCGTCGGCGTCACGAAGAACAATGGGCCTTGGGCCGCCTTGGGTCCCAACGCGGCCGATACCCGTACCCCAATTACTCACGCTTCATTAACCATTTCACCGTCACGCTAGGATTCATCCAATTTTCAAAAAAAATTGTTTCGCATGTATTTAGCAATTTTTTCCTTACTCTCCGTTAAAACACAAATAAAAAGAGACCTCATTCATAAAAATCGGCCGAATAGAAGAGAAGTTACAGTAATCGAAATCCGAAGAAATCAACAAAACCTCGACTCCTCGATACGAAAAATAAAATGAAGGGGAAAAAAAGAAAGTATAAATTACAATTAAATATAATTGACCTCAAAATTTGACAAACAATTCATTTATATACCTAACGCTGAAAAAACTGGGAGAAATTACAAAAAATTTGCCTCTTGCAAGGGGCTTCTTTGTAAGAATTTTGACCTGAAGACAACGGTCGAATAACAGCAGTACTCCATACAATACACGGTGTGCCTGAACGAGTTAAACATTTTTCATACGTCCAAATCGAAAAATCTTTATATTTTTAACTACAATGTTTCTTGAATCGTTTAAGCAAAAAAAAAAAAAAAAAAAATTCCGTCGAGATTCTGGAACGCAAAGGCGCTTTAAAAGTATTCTGGGGCTATAATAGCTAAATCACCGGTAGTAAATTCGTTATATTATTAAAAAGAAATTGACTCCATAGTTTAATTCCTTAGTTTCTTGAATACGATTATTTTAAGCACTTAAACATTTATACCACCAATTTTAGCCATGGGGTGATTTCCTGAGAGCCGATAATATCACGAATTTCTCATAGAACCCCTCAACAGTGGCTTGCTTTTTTGGCAGCCGATTCGGCCATCGAACCGGAGTTTAAATGGAAGCTGATAATAACCCAAAGCTCTGAGAAAAATTTTGAGATGAGTATAAGAACGGTTTGTTGTAAGTAGCGAGGAGAGGCGGGCAAAGCGGCTAAAATCCTATCTAATTTTTACAGTTTTTCTGTTGAATTAATGTTGCCGCGGGCTTCTGACTGTCCACACATAGTTCTGTTCAGCATATCGATACATAAGTATTTACATTTTACATACGTAGAATCTAATTTTCACGTCGGGGAGTTGACATATTTTGATTTTTTCGATTTTATACGGAAAATTGATGGTTTTTCGGGATTGAAATTATTATTGTTTCATGAAAAATAAATGCACCCAAAATGACTATAGCATATTGATTCTTACACATTTGCACTCACAAAATTGGTTGGTAAATTCAACGAGTGGGTGCATCGACCTGGTATATCAAGTTTCTGCAATTTTTTACGGCAAATCAGTAGATTTTCGGGATGTAGATTGCTTACTTTCAATTCATGAATGAATAAAGCAACGACATGGTTGAACTTCTTTGCATGGAAAGACGTTTAAAATAACAAAATCAAGACGTATTTAATGCAATTGCATTTATATCGAGTCAATTTCTTTTCAATAATATAACGGGATTTTTACTACCGGTGATTTGGGTATTTTAGCCCCAAAATACCTTTAAATCGACTTTATCTTCTAGGAGTTCGACAGAATTTTTCCTTTCTTCGCTTAAATTATTCCGTAGCACTTTTCTTCAAGAATCTGATAAGATTTTGCTTGAGGCAGATCAAAAAACTTAAATTCGATCGAATAGCTTTCTACTTTCACAATACACGGTCTCGTCAAGGTGCGTCTTTGACCTCGCAGTGTTGGATCGTGAATTCTCTTGTTGTGCTGTTTGCCTATTTTGAAATCTCTGTAAATGAAAACTAAAGGGGTTGATATGTGCGAGTTAATGACGCGCCTTATCAACACATTGTGTTGGAGTTCACTGCTTGTTTCTCTTAATTTTGAGTGATAGTTTTGTCACAAAAAAATTAGCAAAATATTATGCCGCATCAGCGTGATGCATATGCGCATAGTATGAAGTGATTTTGGGACGATTGAAAACTTTGGATGAAAAGTCTGTAGCTGTCACTCATACATCTCTGAAACATAAGAATTTCTTCACTTAATTTAGCAGCACTTTCCGACTCTTAATTAGGGTGTAAAGACCAAGAGCACAAGAGACCTGAACAAATGTAAGAAAAAAAAAACACAAACCTAGAAGATGCAATCCGACGCCCACTACACCAAATAGGAGCACGGCAAGTTTGACCCATCCAAGGCCGGATTTGTCACTTGGATTGGTGAGCTCAAATAAGAGGAGCCCTGATAACCAAACAAGGAGGATCCACTCATACCAGTACGGAAGGAGGGAGATGCGAACAACAGGGTAGATAGGAGTGATGCCGACCAACATGAGCAGCATCATCAGGTACATGTGAGAGGTTAGGTACGACATAAATTTGATTATCGGCACTTTGTTGTACTTATGGCCGAGTGAAAGTGAGAATCCAATCCAAACGGGTGGGCACAGTATGAACATTAAAAAGAGAAGGAGCGTCTTCCATGCAGCCCAGTTTAGACTTCCTTGCCATAGTTCCTAAGAATCAACATAAAACCCTTTTGGTAAGCAGTTTTGCAATGGGTTTATACTTCATAGGGTAAATGAGAGTAGTATCATATCCATTATTTTCAGTTATTACCGTCAGACATGAATGCAATGGGTCACTGAATGCTACAAGCAACTATTTTAACTCTTCAAATATGCGGGTAGCATAACTCCTAATTGAAGGGGATTTCATTACCTCCTGCACCGACTGAGAGACAGGCAGTGGGTTAAATACAATAAAATCAGTTAAGAGTAGCCATTAAAATATTACCGCCAGGAAAACATAAATAACTTAACATATTAGAAGAAGATGAAAGACAATACAAAAAGAGCGCTCCGGGGCTATCTTAAAAGCAAACTTTTTAGAGTATGTTTTTAGAAGCGTCAGAATTGTTGGAACAAGGATGCTGTGTCCTACGGAAAGAACTTCAAATCAGATGAAAGCTTCACCATCCCTATAGAACTCTGTTCTTTAAAAATAAATTCTTAATAAATAAATAAATAAATAATTCTCTAAATAAATTCTTTGTAAATAAATAAATAAATAAATAGATATATAGATAATAAATAAGTAAATATATAAAAATTATCCATCCATTCCGGACAGACCTCATATGTGCGTTACGAGCAAAGTCCAGGTTACAGCATCATCATCGACGATGCCTAGGCACCAGTGTTCGAAACTCACGGGCGCCAACGCGCCAAATGCGCCTAAAAAATCGGCCGTGGCGCCTAAAAAATGGAGGCTCTGCGCCAACAAGGCCCCTAAAAATTGCCCCCTAAAAATCTGAATTTTCATATCAGGTGATTATTCGAAAGTTTCAACACTACAAGTGAGAGCTTTTCCTATTCTTCACGATTTCATCCTTTACGCTTTTGTCTTCCCCAAGTTATAGCTACTTACTAGTTCTATTGCGAAAACATCTTGCACCTAACTTTTCACTTAATGCACCGTAATATATAGGCAAAAAGTCAATTTGGCCCCTAAAAAATCTTCGATGGCGCCTAAAAATCGGGCTTGATGCGCCATTTGGCTCCTAAAACTCAAAGGTGGATTTCGAACACTGCTAGGCAAAAACCGTCTTCGCCGGAGACCCAGTCATTGCTCGTAACATGTATTTCGTCTTCACGCACAAAAGGAGATAAAAAGAAAGTATACATATTTTACTCATAGTCCTATACTTTTTAGAGGACGTGTACCAACCTGAAGATACCTTTGTACAACTGTATGTGCGATGACTTCCTTCTGTTCATTCTCGATGAGCACATCTAAAAACTCGATGTTTCGTCTATCAGTGGCAGTAAGAATACGTCCAGCAGAATCAGCCCCAGCAGCCAGTGCGAGGAGCTCTGTTGCCATACTTTCGCACTGCTTCCCTGCAGCAATCAAGTCTTTCGCTCTCTCCTTCTCCTGCACAGACCCCACGCATTTACATTTTAGTAAAAATGAGTCAATTTGCTGAGAAATGAAACACGAAGAATTTTGTTTTTTTTTTACAGAAATTCCATAATCAGAAGTAATCTCAAATCTCAAATGGTTTTAAAACATATTCTGACAAGGTCTATTTGTAGGTTCTTGCAACACAATCTACATGATGATTTTCTGTTACATTGACTTATCAGATGTCTGATTTGCTTTTCAATACTCTTTGAACTTTTCAAAAGAAATCGGTGTACTCGTAGGATAGTTGAAGTTGATGAATCTCTCGATGGATAATTTGGCTTGCTTAACCGGAATTGGCTTAACCGCATTTCACGTTGCATAATTTTTTCTAAAGTTTTATTTTTTTAATAAAGAACGAAACCCGGACGAGGAAACTGCTCACAAAAGTTAAGTTTCAGTCTTATTCACTTTGTTTTCTGCTTAAAAATAAATGTTTAGAAAAAGCTAGGCAACGTATGATGTGTTATGTTTATTTCAGTTGAGCTCATCCAGTCGGTGTTTTCAGTCTTACCAGGGCCACTTTTATGGAGATTGAACACTCTTTCTTTCGGACAGAGGTAAAAAATTTAAAAGGCTCTTTGAAATTTCTTCATGTTCGATGCTGTGAAAAGGGCCTGAGACAAAAAGATGTTACTGTCCGTAGCACTCACGGAGATTTCAAGTTAAACAAATTCAAAGGCATGTTTTAAATGTCATTCTTTGGTAAACCAATTGCTTAAGGAGCACCTCACGATTTCTTCTTGTTTTGTGAAGCTTACCTTAATAGATAGATTGATGTAAATGCTAGATAATTTGGCAGCAGTATCCACAGGAGCAGGTGACACTAACACAAACTCCTCAATGGGTTTATTATTATGGTTGCGGCTACAAACCATCAAATTGTACACAAACTGAAATCAAGTAAGGGACAAGATATAAACATTTTTAAGAGCAGCGATAATGTTTGCAAAACGCAAAGTACGAAAAACAAGCCAATGCTGTATCTTCTGAAGCGTATATTCTACATTTTATGGAAATGTCAATTTAAAATATGAAGATTTAGGAAATCATTTTGAGTTGAATTAAAAATAATACAATATTGATTTACATTTTAATGACCAAAGTTAAGCTTGTGCATCAGTACTGTAATGTGTAAATGGTGTTGTTGGCTTAATACTTCATTTCAAAATGTATCCTCAGTACTTTGGAGAACGATTCCATATTAACTGTTGAATAGTCGAATAATTGAATACTATTGAATAGTTCATAGGTAAATTGATAATTTCAGGATTTTAGGAAATTCCTTTAAAAACCTCCGACCATCATTTATCATGACTGGGGACTAGCTTAAAACCATCCTGAGTATAATTATCGCAATCGAAAGGCAAAAATTTTTGCATTATTTATCAGACCAGGCATGTTGGATCACTAGATTAATTCTAATATTTACCCTTCTATCTTCCATGAGCGCATACGTATCATGTTCTTTGTGCATCAGATACTCCAGCACATCATTGTGACCCTCCTGAGCTGCAAACCAAATGGGAGCTGAGCCATAGTTCGTGACCGATTTTGGTGAAGCCCCAGACTCCACCAAGAGTTTCACAACATCATACGTCCCTGCCCGAGCCGCACAGTGAAGAGGCGTCCAACCATTCTATAATTTTAAAATAGATACGACACTGTGAGGCCGATCATAAAATACGTAAGGCTCCAATGGGGGTCGAGGATAGCTTTACGCCATCTTAAGTGATCAGAGTTCTGATAAGCCTCGGCGGGTGGGTGCAGCAGCCAATGAGAATTGAGTGGAAGACGATCTGTTCCCAACTAGATGGTGATTGGCTACTGCCACATAGGTATACAGGAAGGAGAAAACGTAGGGTAGAGTTATGAGGAGATATTTGCGTTGTCATTGTTATTGATGGTCAGACTTGTGAGATCCGCACACTTAAGGGTGGAAGAAAGCCATGGAAATTTTATCAGACAGAAAACATAAAAACCTTGCGGAATTTTTGACTTTTGTTAATTTGTATATGAGTGAGCTTGTTGGCTTTAAGAATTTGAAGCAGCCTTAACTCAGTAAATAAAAAAATTGAGGCATAATTGAAAAATAAATTACTTTGTCTGTGGCATCAATTGCAGCACCTTGTCCTAGCAGAACTTCAACCATTTGATAATGGCCATGCGTTGCAGCTATGTGAAGACAAGTCTTTCCATGCTTGTCTGATGATTGTAGAAGATCCGCCGCCCTTGATAATAATAGACCTACAACGGTTGTGTGACCTCCAAAACATGCCAAGTGAAGTGGATTGTACCCCTGAAATAAATGTCAAATGTTAGCATCAAGGGGTGAAGAGAAGAAAAGCAAGAGTAGGTAATCAGCAGGGCCGGCTTTACCTACTTTCCACCCATGGGCTGCCTGTATTTTTCCGCCCCCTTCTCATTCGTTTTGAAACGATAGATCGTATTCGACAGTGGTTCGATGTATCGTTTGGTTTAGAACAATAGAACACAACCTCAAACAAAAATTTTAGGATTTGATTTGGAATATCTGAAAATGAGAAAATTCCTAACAATTTCACTTTTCATTGCCATTCGGTACTCGAGAGAATAAGTATTCGATCACATAAAACACGTTACTTCAGTTTTCTAAATTGACTTTTGAGGCTGTGGTTACATATTGAACCAATCGATATTAATATTGAGTGATCCGTCGAATACGATCTATAAAAACCATCAAGTGAACGTGTCGGTGCGGGAGGAGTGTATGAGACGCGTTTACTCGTGTTGGGAACATTTGTTGTGAAAGCCCTGTCAACACTAACAAAAGTTCAGCTCCGTAAACCCATCCCTGTTAGGACAAGGCCTTCATTAATAAAAAACGAACGAGAAAATTATGAGAGAACAAACATTAATGTGGTTAATAATTTTAACTTCCACCGCCGCGCCGATCGTGCTGTGTTGGCGCAATGTGTGAAGTATCCATACAGTCTTGTAGGCGCTGTGCGTTTCACGCTGACCACTGCGCGCTGCTAACCACACTGTTTGGCGCAATGCGTGAAGTATTCACGCAGTCTTGTAGGCGCTATGCGTTTCATGCCGACCGTCGCGCCGCTTCGTTCCAGGTCAAATTGCGTGTTTGGTTTCTCTTTTAACTCGACTAATTAGAGGTGTTGTCTCTTGTATTACTGACAGACGACACAATTAGAAATTACTATACTTTTACTCTCAGGAAATGAGAGATTTTGTCGCCTTTTCTCGTTTGTAATTTATTTTCTGAATCCCATTTTTTCTCTCTTTTTTTGATACCTACAGTCAAGAAGATTGCAAAATTTGCCGCCCAATACATTTTACCACATGGGGTGGCCAAATGGGCCGCGGCCCATGTGGCTACTCCCTTAATCCGGCTCTGGTAATCAGAGAAGCGGGTAATTTAAAAACTCAAACGTACCTAAAATTCATCACCATCACTTTCAGACACTGCTTACACCAATATGAATTCACTTTATCACCCGTTCCATTATACCTATTCGATAAGCAATTTTGTGGGAGATGCATAATAAAACAATACCAGGTTATAAATAAATGGTGCTTGTTATCTACGTTTTTTTTTGTTATCCTAAAATTTTATATTAAATCAAATCAGATACGTCGAGAGCTGCTCAGTTGTGTAGATTATTTTGGAAAAAAACGCTCACATTTTCTGACGAAGCAGCATCGACCTGAACACCAGCAGAATTGAGAAGCAGTCTGACAACATTTTCATTCCCTGAATAAGCTGCTAAATGCAACGGAGTTAATCCTGATTCTGTCCCAAGTTCACCTAAAAAACTCGTCCCTGAAGGCGGATCAGATTTCACTGTCGCTGGCACATGTGACAGCATTTCTCGTACAGTGTCTGAAATAATTGAACAATTGAAAATAAGAGCCAGTAATTAGTAGAATGTTTCAATGTTTTCAATTTTAAATGGGAATAGATTTTCGGCCACTTAGAAAGTTGCTTTAGCTAAAATTTGCAAAAAAATTGACGAAAAATATCATGTAATTCTATCTTTTCTGAAATATAAAAGTAATATGAAAACAAAAATTGAGACAGCCCGATTGTTAGTTTTAAAATTTTTAAGAGGGAAATGAAATGATTAGGTAAATGACAATTTATTTCTGTTTGCTCCACAACTTGAGTACATAAAAGTTTGATTACTTGCCAGTTTATTAATGGATGAAAGTTTTTAATACCTGCTTGTCCATAATATGCGGCTATGTGAAGCGCAGTCACACCTAACTTTTTACTTGATATTCGAAGGGACTGAGAGGATCGCATGACTTCTAAAACAGGTAAGTGACCGTTTTGAGCGGCTAAATGAACTGCAGTAAATCCTGCCTGGAAAGATTAGCATCAGAAAGATTAGCAGTCAGAAACATTCGGAGGGATCCGCTGATTGAAAAACTAGTTTCACTAAAATTTTGCAGCTACAGGAACCAACCCCCCCCCCCACCAAAAAAAATTGGGTCTTAAAGTTAATTTATCTTACTCTCTAATTTTTATAACTTCGACATAATTTTTTATACTTCTTATGAAAAAGAATGGGGAATATTAAAAAAAAAATACGCAACACTTAAAAAAAGGAATAACAATGCTGAACCAAACATATGTCCATAGCATTTTATCTCATGGAATAGATTTACCGATTATTTTGGAAAAATTGCTTGAGCAAGCCAAATGAAATAATTCATATTGTATAAATGAGTCAAAGTAATTATGACTTTGTTGAAAATTTACCTTCCAAAATGAACGTCTCATTTCTAATTTTTTAAATACATTGTCAGGGGGAAAAAACTGTAGTAGGTACTTGACCTTTTTTCTTGATTATCATATATTCCCTTCATTCCAAATAAAATGGAAAATTCAAGGGTTTATTCCTCACAGTGAGATTCAAATTGACTTTTGTTTTGCGGTGTACTCAGAGTTTAACAATGATTAATAAATGAATGAAAGCGAATGAATTCATTGTTTTCATCTTCAAGTACCTTGTTTTCATCTGTACAGGAAGCACCAGCTCTAACTAGAACTTTCACTACATCTGCATGGCCACCTTCAGCAGCCAACTGAAGAGGAGTGGCTTCAGTCACTCTGTTTCGAGCTGCAATCACACCTGTCCTGTCAAAACGCATGAGCTCCTCAATTACTCGAACGGAACCTTGCATAGCAGCTATGTGAGCACAGGTATTCCCATCCTGAAATGAAAAACAGTACAACGTTAAAGAATGATACATGTACGAGATGTACAATGGATGATATGTTCAAGTATTTAATGTATTCAACGCTATACTGCAGTATTACTACTGTTGAACATCAACAGAGAGGGAAACTAAGAGCTTTGAAAAATCCCTTCACACTTCTCACGCAGCTGCCCCTTCATGTTCTACCTTCAGAGTCTCAGGGGACGTCACCCCTATATTTTCCGACAAATAATCCAATCATTTTATAGCAGCCTATTCAACATTGTTTCTTTCACATTGAGTGTATCAAATGTTTAGTCATAATGTCATACCGGCACGTAGCAAGGGGGGCTTAAAAGGCTCAACCCCCCCCCCCCCCCCCCCCC